TATATATACTACAAAACAAGATTTTTCAAAATGAGGGCCCCACCCCCAATGACCACCAACGGTCATATTAATTGCACAAATAGCCGTTTTTTTTCCAATTTACAAAACTAACCTTCTCTAACACTATAAGTACCCCCCTCCCTCTTCTTCATTTCAATACTCAATACTCATTTCTCAATCTAAATTTCTCTCAATCTCTCAATCTCCAATTTTCAAGACTTCAAGTCTCAATCTCAATTTTCAAGTTAAATCATGCCTCGTTCGGAAAGAGTGCGCTTATTTGTTTCGCAATACTATGAAGTGCTTGAAGAAAATGAAGAAGGCCAAATATTAAAGTGCAAGAACTGTGGAAGAGTCTTAAATTTTCGTTCAGGGTGTACCACAGACATTTTAAGGAGGCATATAAAGTATTGTGTTGAGGGTATTTATCCGCAAATTCGTCTTTAAGATTTTTCAATAATTTGTGTTATTTTAAAATTATTAGACGTATTTATGCTTCATGTTGTACTTTGTTATTAATTTATTATGCATGCCAATTTAGTTTTACTATTGATTTGTTATTTTACATTTTCGTCAAACACTTTAATAATTAGATTTCTATATTATATATACTACATATATTTATATAGCAATGCATAAGAGCAATTTATATATATACATACACATATGGTTTACAAGAAATTGCCTTAAATAAAAAAAATTAAAAAAAAAGTCCGGAAATAAAAAAAGCCCGTTAGGCCCGCTAAGCCCACGAGCCCGACCCATTTAGCCCAGGACCATATGGGCTTAGGCCCGTCACGGGCTGGTCCTACCCGTTGAGCCCACGAAGCCCAGGATCGTGAAGCCCGGGACCGCCAGAGCCCCGGACCGCTAAGCCCAGGCCCGTTTAGCCCGGCCCATTTAGCCCGGCCCGTTTAGGCCCGGGCCCGGCCCACCATACAATATTATTTTTCCAATAGAAGTTTTCTTTTGACTTGAGCATCCATAGTTTTAGTGATTTTCAATTATATGCTGTATTACTTTTCAAAATCTGCTTGTTGTTTCAATTATCATCCCAAATGAGAAAATTGTTGATTATTTTGATGTATAAGTAGTCCAACATGGGAATTGTAGGTTAAAAACCATCGATCAACTATACCTTTCCGTCACTAATGGAATCGAGTACTATACTTTTTTGAGGCGCGCATACACAAAAGGAATTCCTTTCTTGTCTACTACAAAATTTAGTATATAAAAAATGCTTTTCAGAATAAATTAAAAAAATAATTTATTTTTCTAGCTATGGATTTATGGAACCTCACTTACTAGTTTGAAGTGGAAAATAGATTTCATGCAAATTGCACACTGAGCTTTTGGTATAGGTGTCCCGAGGCTAATAATCTACGAAGAAAGGAGGGGAAATGGCAGATCAACCAAAGATCCTACTCCTCTTAAAAAGGGGAATGAATCATTATTCCGATTTTTTATTTTGTTTTAAGGCCCCATCGACGAAAGAACACATCTAAAAATAGTCAATTTTATGAATATTAATTTTATAAGCTCTCATCTTTATCACACTTCTTTATCTTCCAAGTCAAAAATTATTGAGCTAATGGAGTATTTGGCTAATAAGCCTAAGCATAAATAGTTAGTCATTTGCATTGTATTAGCCATTTTGTATTGTGTCTTTTATTTAATATGTCAAGTTGGCTATTTAGACCATTTTAGTAGTTAGGCTAATTTTGTAAAGAGCTAAGGCCTAGAAATAAATACTGGGAGAACAGATATTGTAGATTGGTGAATTCATTTTGGGTTGTATAGATAATGAAAGATACCCGATTTCTCTCTCTAAAACCCTAAGCAAATTTTACATTTCTCACTCAAATCATAATGTTTTCATGGTATCAGAGCACCGATTCTGGTGCATTTTGAGCTTCCGATCCGTCCGATTCTACCCCGTTCGATTTTGGTTGAGTTTTTGATCTCCGACAGTTCGAAAATCGGGGACTTCTATTTTTTCAGAGGAACAATTTTTCGTCGATTTCGAGTTTGAGACCAGCGTTAGGGTTATTTCCGGCGTTTTTGGTTGAAGTTTGAAGAGTTTAAGCTGCTTAGCAATTGATGTTAGGATTCAACAATTGGAGCTAGGGTTAGCTATTATTTGAAGGCCGTTCTTCTCCGGTAGCGAAGAAGCTGGGTAAATTCGTTCTTATTTTTTCCTTTAAGATTGTTGCATGCAATTTTCCTGTTGGAATCTCATTTGTGACCTTATCCTCTGTATTTGTCAATTTGTCGATACTGTGTGATAGACATGGGTTCTACTGATACTTTCTCTCCTGATCCTTCAAGTCCGTTATTTGTACATTTATCTGATATTCCTGGAATTTCATTAGTTCCTGCTCCTTTTTCGGGTACTGGTTTTGGGGTTGGAGGAGAAAAATGATAGTCGCTTTGTCTGCTAAAAATAAAATAGCTTTTGTTGATGGTACATGTTCTCGACCTGTTACTGATGGGGATGAACGAAAATTATGGGATATCTGCAACAATATGGTAATTTCATGGCTGACAGCCTCCTTATCCCCTGAGATAGCTGAGAGTGTTCAGTATTTTGAAACTGCTCAAAGTATCTGGGTTCAATTACAAACTAGGTATGTGACTGCAAATAGGACCAAAATATTTGAGTTAAAAAGAGAACTTGCTTATACTTCCAAAGGTGCTTTAGATATAGCCTCATATTTCAATAAATTGAAGAGGTTATGGGATGAACTGGGAGTGATATGCACTAATCATGGTCAGAGGCGCGTTTGTGCTGCAAAGCTTAGTATTTTGCAAGAAGATGGGGAGAATAAACTATTTCAGTTCCTTATGGGGTTGAATGAGACATACATGGGGTGAGGAGTAATCTTCTTATGATGCAACCTCCTCCTAGCCTTGACAGTGCTTATAATATACTTCTTAACGATGAAAAACAAAGGCAAGTTCAGTCCAACTCTCAATTCAACCCTGACTCCATATCATTCAATGTTAGTACACAAAGTAGGCCTATTTTTGGTGTTAGTTTCAATCAAAGTAATACTCCCAATCCCACTCCTCTCAAACCATATGCTCCAAGAGTTAATTTTGATCAGAATAGAGCTTCTTTGTTTTGTAAGTACTGCAAGAAATCTGGTCATCTCATTGACAAGTGTTATAAACTACATGGGTATCCCCAAATTCCAAAGTTTAACAAGGGTAAAAAGGCTGCAGCTCATGTGTCTACTGCAGTTCACACTAACTCTGAGGGCAATGGCTTTGAATCTGTTGGGTCTTTGGATGAGGGAGATAATCCTCCTGCTTCTGCTTCCAATGCTGATGGTCAGGGATTCATAATCCCAGGTCTGAGCAAGCAGCAATATGATCAATTGATCAACCTCTTACAGCAGTCTCATATGGGGGATGCTTCCAAGTCTCAAACCAATCTCATGTGCTCTGCTAATTTTGCTGGTACTTTATTAACTGAAAGCCCAGTTTCTAATTCTAAGCTTTGCTTGCTAACTGAAGTTCATTCTGTTACCTGGATAATAGATTCAGGTGCTTCTGATCACATGACTTCTAATAAAGAATTACTTTTTGACATTACACCCTTAACCATTCCTTACCTTGTAACTCTTCCTAATGGATATAAAGTGAAAGTGACTCCACTGGTTCTTTTGCTTTGACTCCATCCATTATCCTTCATAATGTCTTATTTGTTCCTTCATTTCAACACAATCTAATCTCTGTTCACAAATTGATCAAACAACTACATTGCATAGTGTTATTTACTGCCACTACTTGTTTATTACACATGTTACAGGCCCCTTCTCTGAAGATGCCTCTGGATCTTGGTAAAGAGGAGGATGGCCTGTACAAGTTCACTTGGGTGCAGCCATCAGATTCTCCTATTCCTTCAACTTCAAATTCATGCAGCACTATTTCTATATGTCCTGTAATAGACTCTTGCAAATCTGTTTCTCTTTCCAGTCATACAAATGTTTCTAGTCTTAGTTCTTCTTTGTGTAATAATGCTGCTATAATGATATGAATTTGATTTGGCATCAAAGATTGGCACATATTTCCTTTGCAAATATGAAACATATTCATGTTCTGTCTCCTTCTCTTTCTTCTAGACAGTTTTTTCCTTGTTCTGTCTGCCCTATGGCTAGACAAACTAGACTTCATTTCCCTGATAGTTCAATTAGTACAACTAGACCTTTTTAATTGATTCATGTTGATACATGGGGACCATATCACACACCCACTTCATCTGGTTCAAGGTATTTCCTTACCATTGTTGATGATTTTTCAAGAGCCACCTGGACTCATTTAATGGGATCAAAGAGCAATGCTTTCTCTATGATCAAGGCTTTTATAGCCATGGTCCAAACTCAATTCAATACACATGTCCAGACCATTAGAAGTGACAATGCATTAGAATTAGGCGCCAGTACTGCTGGCTCCTTCTTTTTCAGTCAGCTTGGTATCATTCACCAAACTACCTGTCCACATACCCCACAACAAAATGGGGTTGTGGAAAGGAAACACAGAACGCTTCTTGAAGCCTGTAGAGCCTTATTATTTCAATCCAAACTGCCTATCACCTTTTTGGGAGATTGTCTTCTGACTGCCACATATTTGCTAAATAGAATACCATCCAGAATTCTTAAAAACAAGTCACCCTATGAGGTCTTGTATGGCAAACCTCCTACTTATTCCCACTTAAGAACCTTTGGATGTCTGGCTTATGCCACTGTTCCTATTCCTCAAAGAGACAAACTATAACCTAGGACTATCCCATGTGTCTTTCTGGGTTATCCTTTTCCAAAAAAGGGTTACAAATTGTACAATCTCACTACAAAGAAATGCTTCATCTCTAGGGATGTGATTTTCCATGAAACTTGCTTCCCTTTTGCTACTTCTGTTTCTTCTGTTCCTTCCACTGTAGTTTGTTCTCCTCCTCCTTCTACAATTTATCAGGATCCTACACCTTCTTTCTCCTCTGCTCCTTCTTCTCATCCTGTATCTCCTAACTCTTCTATTTTTATACCTGAACCTGATGCTACTTCTCCTGTTCATTCTCCTTTACATTCTTCTCATCAGGATGTGCATGGTTAGTCATCTCCTCCTCCTCTAGTTCTTAGAAAGTCTTCCAGGCAACACACTACTCCTTCTTATTTGAAGGATTATGTTTGCCAACTTCCTTCCTTTTCCGGTTCTTCCTCTTTACCTCCTATAGAAACTGAACCTTTCAGTTATTCTCAAGCTGCTTCAATTCCAGCTTGGCAAGATGCCATGAAAAAGGAATTTGATGCTTTGGATGCAAACCACACTTGGGATATTGTGCCTTTACCTTCTGGTAAAAAAACCTATAGGTTGTAAGTGGGTCTACAAGATTAAGTACAAGGCTGATGGGAGTGTGGAGAGATATAAAGCTAGACTTGTTATTAGAGGGGACACTCAGGTTGAGGGTGTTGACTTCACATAAACCTTTTCTCCTGTGGTAAAAATATCCACTGTTAAATATCTCATAGCTGTAGCTATCAAACATAATTGGTCTCTTTCTCAGTTAGATGTCAATAATGCTTTTCTTCATGGAGATCTAGATGAGGAAGTCTACATGAAGCTACCCCAGGGTTTGTCTATTTCTGTTCCTTCTAGTTCTGCCCCTCTTGTTTGCAAATTGAGGAAGTCCCTCTATGTCCTTAGACAAGCTTCAAGACAGTGGTATGCCAAGCTCTCTCAAGCCCTATACTCTAGGGGTTATACTCATTCTCTTAATGACTATTCATTGTTCATCAAGGGCACTCCTGGCAATTTGGTTCTTTTAGCAGTTTATGTAGATGACATCATCATTACTGGGGATGATACTGCTGAAATTTCTGCCTTAAAGCATTTCCTAGATGCTGAGTTTAAGATCAAGGACTTGGGCTCTTTGCATTATTTTTTGGGTATTGAGATTTCTATTGTTCCTGGTGGGGTTCTTCTCAACCAGAAAAAGTTTGTCTCTGATTTACTTCAACAATTTGATTGTATTGATGTTTCACCTGTTGTCTGCCCATTAGAACTCAATTGTAAGCCACATGCAGATGTTGGTGATCTCTTTACTTCCCCTGATCAATATAGAAGTCTTGTAGGCAAGCTTCTTTTCTTGACCTACACTCGACCTGACATATGCTTTGCTGTACAACATTTGAGTCAGTTTTTGAAGAGTCCCAGGGTCCCCCACATGACTGCTGCTCTCCATGTCTTGCGACTCTCAAAGGAACCATTGATTTGGGTCTCTTTTATTCTGCTTCTCCTGATTTCTCTATCCGTGCTTATTCAGATAGTGACTGGGCTGCTTGCCCTGACACTCGCAGGTCTGTAATAGGTTTTTGTGTTATACTGGGTGGTTGTCTCATTAGCTGGAAATCTAAAAAACAACCAGTTGTATCTCTATCTTCTGTTGAGGCAGAATACAGGGCTTTGAGTAAGGTGGTGGCTGAGCTTACTTGGTTTTCTAGGCTGATGTCTGATTTTGGATTGTCTGTTTCCCTTCCCATTTCTCTTTTTGTGACAATCAGGCTGCTTTGCACATTGCTAGAAATCCTGTATTTCACGAACGAACAAAGCGTATTGAGGTTGATTGTCATTTCATATGAACTAAGCTCCATGATGGTTTGATTCAGCTTTCTCATGTGGCCTCTTCTGACCAGCTGGCTGATGTTCTCACTAAACCCCTTCCAGGTGCTGTTCGCCATGATCTCTTGTTCAAGTTGAAGGTGGTCTCCCCCTCCAACTTGAGGGGGTGTTGAGCTAATGGAGTATTTGGCTAATAAGCCTAAGCATAAATAGTTAGTCATTTGCATTGTATTAGCCATTTTGTATTGTGTCTTTTATTTAATATGCCAAGTTGGCTATTTGGGCCATTTTGGTAGTTAGGCTAATTTTGTAAAGAGCTAAGGCCCAGATATAAACACTGGGAGAACAGATATTGTAGGTCGGTGAATTCATTTTGGGTTGTACAGATAATGAAAGATATCCGATTTCTCTCTCTAAAACCCTAAGCAAATTTTACATTTCTCACTCAAATCATAATGTTTTCAAAAATAGTTTAGTTCTCTCTTTGAATCTCATCAGTCATATGAGCGACAACAATATAACAATTTTACTATGGTTGAAAATTTCTTTATTTTGATATGCTCTTGATTTTATTGTCAATTCTTAGTTTATTATTTGTTATTTATGGCACCATTTCGAGAAGTAGCGGGATCAAGATATTTAGTACGAGAATCAAAATATAATGAAATAACACATAAAAGATTCAAGGCGATTCAATATATAATATATATATACATAATTATTTTTTACCTAGATACACAATGGCATTACCGGTTAAGGGACACCTCTTGAACAAAGATGGCTCCGCCATTGCGAGGTGTAAATAAACAATTTGACATAATTATCTTCGTGCAATTTTTCAGCTTACGTATCGTTAACTGTTGGTTGTCCATCACAAGATTTAAACTCTCAATATGTTGGGTTTGTTTTAATATTCCATAATCCATAGTTCCATACACAATCGTACGACACATTTCAAGGAAAAGAATTTGGTCGTTAATGCATTATGTACATGAATTTAAAAACTTACAGGTACTGTAGTACTTAACATGTTGATAGAATCGTGAATTCTCAGAAACAAGATTTTGTAGTCAAGAATTACTTCGTTTATATTGTACAGTAAAATAAATATATTATGAATTCAGTAATTTCAAACCAAATTAGAGTTTCACCCGTTTCAATTTACTTCGTTTTGTTGGCTGTCCCCGAAGGGACTTTGGACTTTCTTTTGTTATGGTACAATTCAAATTAATATAACGGTATATATCCTAAGTTAA